TTTTTTAAAGGAACAAAATGAACTGCTTTGAGACAGACAGCAGAAAAGTGGTGAAAGAGGAGCTGGTAAAGTTAAAATAAGGAGGAATTCAGACCAAATTATTGTAGTTCCATGTTATACAGACCCAACTGAATGATTTAAATGTGAAAAGGATTTAAAAACATGGTATTGAATGAAATTTTGTAACTGATCAACTGAATGTTAGATGCAGTATTGTATTTTTATACTTTCTGATCAYTGCAGCCATTATAATATTCTTACAGTAAAACATCTCTGTCTTCTTGTTTGGAGAATTGCTGGTGAGTGTGAAACCTTCTAGATACTGTACACACGCAGTGCAGGAAACAAACCAGAGCYTGACCCGAGTCAGACCCCTAAACATGCAAAATCATCCAACATGCATGAGAGCGTACTCTCAGGAAACCTGAATAAGACTTGAAGCGCGAGAGAAAAATGAGGCAGGGTAAGGCCTCTGCTTATTGTCAGGGACCCTTGTATCTTCTGTGTAATAAACTGCAGCATTGCTCTGCAAACACACACACACAAAAAAGACGCTGTGTCTCAATCTGCACACAAAGTCCGGAGCAGGATTTCTACATCTTTAGATCGGGTTTCAGTTATTTCATAACACGGGGCGGGTGGTCTGACATCTCTGGAAACAAAATTGTGACACAAATAAGGAAAGATTAAAGCTATTTTTGATGGTTCGGTGTACCACGTACTGTACATGCAGATAACAACGAATTTTTATGAATTAGCTCAAACATGCATGGGAATACAAATATACCACATATTCATCAAACGGGTAAGTGTCAAACTAAAGAAATTAAAATATTACAGGAGTTTTTCACTGTCCTAAAGACCAGCAGGTCAAAATCCAGCAGCAGCTCACTGATTGACTACAGCTGCAGTCAGAGTTGGTGAGAAAATCACCGTACGGTCACAGTTGAGTAACTCCATGAAACTGCTTTTTTCCCCCACTTTCCGGTTAATTTAAGAAAATAAACGACAATGTTCTTCATCACCTCCAACAGAGAWAAATATTTAGATTTACAAACCACTCTATGAGTGTTTGAAGGTTTCACAGACAACCGATTAAAACAGTCAACATCACATCTTTTTCTCAACCAACCAGTCAGGCTTCAGGTTGTACTTCAGCATCAGTGCTTTTTTAAACGATACAAGCAAATTAGCAAAAATGATAAATCATGACATAATAATAATAATAAGTAACACTTAATTTAATTTCTTTAACTTGTTTAGAGTTGGTGAGTTTCTACTACAAACACTTTACTCTACACTAAGTAAAGTGGCTTTAAAGTGCCTGTGACATCAAAATGTTGTAATAAACATGAATGCATTTTTGGAAACAGAACATTGATAAAAAAATATTGCAAAAATMTTCACGCTGCTGAGATGAACAGTTGTTSAGAYATTTGCATGTGAAGTAACAGGAAGTGATGTCAAAGGGAAAYGTCTGCATGTAAACAGTGTTGCTACAACAGCTAACAACACAGACTGTAGAGAAGAATCTGATATTTCTTTAGATTATTTTAAAACACTCAGAAATGAAGAAGAGTCAGAGTTTAAATAAYATTGTTTCAATAAACAAGAAGACCAGAGCATTCCCCTTTGATGTCACTTCCTGTTTCACTTTGGCTGAGCCCAGTTAGGTGACAAAGTGGATTATGTCAAGTTTCTTACATATAAAGATGTTTTCTTTGACCTTTGCATGTCACAGGCACTTTAAGTTAGCTTAGCATCTGTTTAGCTAAAATCTCACCATGCAAAATGTTTTATTAACCTCACGGAGCAACAGGTGTTTCACTAGTTTCATCACATTTACCATTTCTGTTTTTATCCCATAAATGATCTGAAGCAGCTTTTAAGCCTAAATCTAAAATACATTTACACACCGATGACACGATCAACAGGTTTAAGTGAAAACAGACATTTTAGGGATGTTTAAATTTCAAAAGGAYAGAAGTAGAAAAAAACTGCATTGTGTTCCTGAGTCTGTTTTAGACTATACTAACAAGATTTATTAAAAAACTTCCTCATTCTYAACTCAAGGACGTTAACATTCCTGGAAGGACTTGCCTATCACCCACTGCGTTGGCTTTTAAAGATGTAAACAAAGATCCAACACGATCGGCGTGTGCATCGGGACGACCCTCAGCTACTACCACAGCAGTTATGGCCACGTTGCTGAGGTTAATTAGCTGTGGCAGACATCTTGACTTTAAAAGCTAATCAGCTGTAGAAATAAAACCAGTCATTAGTTTCTAAGAGTCTAGTTAAAATCTGATCCTTTAGTAATGTATTAGGAAAATACAGGAAAATAAACATTAAATCGAAACATTTCACTTATAGGCCGCAGGCAATGTTGATGCAATATGTTGATTATTGTAGACTAAACTTTATAAAAAAACACCATTGTTACTATAAAAATGTTTGTTACTAGAATTCATTAAATCATCCCTATAAGAGCTTGGTAGCTTGTTTGTTTTTCCTACAAAAACAAATAAAAAACTTATAAATTATTTTATGTAGCTAATTTCTTGGTGGATAAATGTGTCAGAGTTAGTTGAATACATTAAATGAATGTCTTAACTTTTTCGTCTGTTTTTATCTGATGGGTTTTTCATTTTATCATTTAAATGTGTGCTACAGGCCACCACGTATTTTCCCTTTGGGATTAATAAAGTATTTTTTATATCTATCATCTTAAATAGTTGGTTTTTTTGTCATTAATTTCACCTGAAGCTCCTGGAATAACAGGTGTTACGTCTCAATGAGGCTTTTTAGACAAAAAAGGGCAAATAAATAAAACAACAGTATAATCAGAGTTGTAACTAAATACAAATAGTTTGTTACTGTACTTAAGTAGAATTTTTGGGTATTTGTACTTTACTTGAGTAATTATTTTTCGGCCTACTTTTTACTTTTACTCCTTACATTTTTTAAAAAAAGACAAGAAGTAGGAAGTTGTTACTTTTATTTCATTTTGATTGTTTTCATTGCAGCTTGTTATAAAAAATAAATACTATCCATATAAACTGTGCCTCCTATAGAGTGAATTTAACTGTGGTTGAATGAGAAGTATAAATATATAAAACTCTGATAGTGTAT